GCAACAGCAGAAGGTGGAATTACACTCATGTGAGCTCCTGCTCTGCATTCCCAGTGGAAGGTTGGGGCCCAACCATCTCTCCTGTCCCACAAATGAGCAGAGCTGCTTAGCAGGTTGAATGACTGTAAGCAAAACAAGTACTCCCTCAACATGTTCAGCAACTTCAGGAAGAACACATAGAGGATGCACAGGACAGCCCCGAACACCTGAAGAAGGGCAGTGGTAAATAAGGAGCTCTCCAGAAGAGGTTGGGAAGGATTATGAGACTTAATGTGCAACTGCCCCATTGCAGTGCAGGAGGCCCACAGCACCCATGGGTGACGGTCCCTTTGCAGGCACAAGAGAGGTGGACACTGTACAGGCACAGCACAGCTGCCTCAGCAGCAGAGCCCACTGCTCACTCGTGCTGAGCCTCAGGGTCTTTCCTACATCTTTGTCAACTTTCCCAGACTCCTCTATAAGCTTCTGTCTTCTCCCTGACTTCTCAGAGCTTCAGGAGGCCACAGAGAGCACTGAGGGTCAGGCTGTGTGACACAATCTGCCCAAAAGATGGAGATACTGGTCCCTACAACCACTGCAGGAGCACCATGATGCTGGGAGCTGGAGGTGTTCACCCAGCCTGAGGTCACCAAAGACCCAGGTGACACTGATACAGTACAGGTCAGTGGAAAGGAGGGCACATGGATTCATCACAGTCTCTTGGAGGCAAAAGGGCAAAGCAGCCTTGACTAGAATTTATTAATCAAAGAGACAAAGGGGGCAGATGTGAAGAGGCAATGGCAAGGGCAGGAGCCTAGGCAGGGAGTTCTCTACTAAGAAATTAGCTGTCACCAGCATCATCCAAGGAAAAACCCCATGTACTAGGCTATGGCCACAACCAAACCCCTGCACTGGGGCCTGAGCTAAACTCTATATTCATAGCACAACCTTCTTAGCAGAAGAGTTAGAAAGGCCCAGCAATTTCTAAGGGATTAACAGAAACATTTTCAATTCCCAGCACCAGGACTTTCATCTTCCTGGAAGAAAGCACACACAGCCCAGCTTTGGAGCTCAGTGAATTGTTCAGCACACCTGAGGGGATCAGCAAACGTCTCCAGATTCTCAAGCAGTACTTCAGCACATCACTGGGGTGCAGACAACTTTCACTATGTGCTCAGGGTTAAAATGGTCCCACAGAATGCAGAAAAATTCCAGTGGGTCCCAGAGTAGGGTATGGCTCCCACTGCTCCTCCAAGTGGTGCCATGCAGTGGCACACAGCACAGGGACTGTGCCTGCAGAACCAGGCCAGGCTAAGTATCAGAACCAGGCCCACAGCTTTGCTGCTCTTCTACTCTACATTCATCTAATTTAAAGCTCTGGTGGAAAAATTTGCTCTTACTCAGGCTCGAGTTTCTCCTCCTTCCTGTATCGGCCAAGCCAAGGGCAGGGTAAGAGACAGGACAGGGGTTAACTCCACGTGCCATGTCAGGAGCAGCAGCTCTGGCCTGAGGGCTTGGTGGGGCAGAAATACAACTGAAAACACCACTTTGGGGAAGGTGAGGAGTCACAAATCTGGGAAGTGGTAATGGCACCTTAACACTGGACAGCACAGGCAATGAGGAGATTGTGGCGGATGCCTGTGCTCTCAGCACTTCAGCTCTTTAAAGAAGCAGGAGAAAACAGTTAAATACCCAAAGGTGGTATGAGCGCAGCAGCTGAGATGGCACAGGAAAACGTTTAACTGCCAAAAATAGAGTGAGCATTGAAGGATATCAGATATCTGACTCCTCCCTACTCCAAAATGCCTCAGAGTATCAGCCTGAAGCAAGAGACTTCTCAAGTTTGACCCTGTGGGCAAAACAAGTTCCTGCTCTCCCACTGCCACAAAACAGCAGAGAAGGAAGGAAAGACTCTGAGCACTGGCCCTGCTGCTCACAGTGGGCAAGCCAAGATCCAGCTGAAATCATGAGTGCTTCCTAGAGCCTCATGTCTCCTGGTTTTAAGACACCTAGGACAGTTGAGGGAATAAAGTATTTGGAATAGTGAACAATGTCCAAATTCTGTATATGAGACAGGAGATCAGGTTGGATGACAAGGCACTCAACAGGGTTCCTTCCAGAGGCAATGCACATGCACATTCACTTAAGATACAGTAAGTGCCTCCAAGCCAATGCTCTGAGACCACTTCCCAAAACCCCAGCAGCATAAACAAAGAACTATCCATAAGCCAAATATCTTCAATAATTCCCTCTGGAAAACCTTCAAAACGGGAAAAGATAGGCTTCAGTGTTTGGTTAAACCCGTGTCCTGCTGCCCTTGCAGCAGTGCTGTGCCCAGGCATCAATCCCCTGCAAACACTGCTGCTGGGACCCTTGCAAGGGGCACATTTTGCTACTGGAAATGTATTTCTTTCAATGGCACCTGTCTAGCTCACCTTTCTTCACCTCTCTAGAGGGGTCATACTAGAAACACAGTTAGTTTGGGTTGGAAGGACCTTAAAGATCATCTTGTTCCACCCCCTGCCATGGGCAGGGACACCTTCCACTAGACCAGGTTGCTCCAAGCCCCGTCCAGCCTGGCCTGGAACACTCCCAGGGATGGAGCAGCCACAGCTTCTGTGCCAGTGCCTCAGCACCCTCACAGGGAAGAATTTCTTCCCACTATCTAATCTAATATTGTACAAGCAGATCCTGTCTCTGGGTAGCTAATGACCAGGAAGCAAAGCCTTCCTTGGGCCTCTGTAGCCTCCAGTGAATTTTTCCTCTCTAGCAAATTACCCTTTTAATTCAGAGACAGTTCTGCCTTATTTTTTCACACACTCAAAACACACCCCAGTGCTGGCTCAGCTCTGTCAGTGGGTGGGGGAATGCATTTGATGGACCAGGCAGAGCCATGATTATAGGTCTTCTTCTCAGCCTAATAAAAGGTGCAAAAGCAGATGCCAATGGCTGCAATCTGGCACCATCACTTCTGGAGCCTCCTGCCCATAAACACTGTGAAGGGTTCAGTTCTGACCACATGGCTGTCCCACATTCAGAGCACAAAGGGCATTGTCACCTCCAGACCAGGAGTCCCACATGGATTTCACCAGGCTCCAGTACCACAGGCACACAGTCTCCCAGGCTGGATGGTGCTGTCCTCCCAGTCCTGTGTTCCCATGGCATGGATAACATGAGACCAGGTTTGAATTACATAGCAGGAAAGGGGTTAAAGTTTAAATAACTGTTTTGTATATGAATTAATGTATGTAGCTTTGAGCCAAAATATCTACCATTAATTTTTCCACCTATTTCAGGAGCAGTAAGACACACAAAGTAAAGTTTATTTTGGTTCTTGGTATACTTGACTCTCATTAAAAATAAATTAATCAGCAAATTCCTACACAGCTCAGCCTTCTTTTATGTAAATACAAGGCAGCTGTAATGAATTACAAGGTGTTATTATCTCACACACACTGTATAATACTTCACACATAAGAGGTTTCTCTGCTTAGCTCAGCTTTCAACAAAAGCATCTTAAATAAACTGCAAGCAAGTTGTTTGGTCTGTAATGTTTTCACAGAGAAGGGATACACCTCACACAAAGAGGGGCTCTTTACATGACTCACTTTATAACAAGTTAAACTGAGGAAGTTTGCCTTGGAAAAAAAACCCAAAATGCCTTTTTCATACACAAAAGGTTCCCTGAGAGAAAATTTCAAACAGAATGCAAGGCAGCATTTGGGAGCTTCTATCCTGCATCCCACTACTTTTTCCACTGAGAAGGGACAGCAAATATTTCCCAACACGCACACAGAGAGCAGCTTGAGGAGGAAGAATAGTCATAGCCAGGCACAGTCACACTTTCTCCAGATTAAGGAGTCAAAAAATTGAGGATTAAATTAACAAATTAAGGATAATCACCATCAACTTTTGTTTAATGCTTTTACTAGAAGTAAGTCCTGATTTTATAGTGCTTCTTCTTATCAAAAGCACACAGAAGACACACACACAGCAGTTTTACCCAGACTGACATTTATTATTGACTCAGATTTTGGACAGGAGAGAAATGAAAACTGTTTTTGCCACTGCCCTGGGAACAGCCTGGTGAACCATCCACCCACACAGTGCACCTCAGCCTTTGCTGATTTCATCAGTGCAGCTCCTGCTCCCCTAATTACTGTGCTGGCACTGTTTGCCTGCACAACCATACAAAGGTTTCACTGGAATTGATGGGTTAAAAAGCCCTGGACCACTGCACTGGGGGTGGAGGATGGCAGAGTCCTGTCCCAGGGACACAAACAACGATGTTCTGGTCATGAAGAAATTCTTAAGAGCACAACTCTACAGACAATGTGGAAGTATCAGCAAGGCAGACTGAAACATCAAGTACTGAGGCACAGCTTTTAGTGCTAGCCCAGCCATGATCTCGGATTTATTCCATTAAGGATTGTCACAGAGGATTGCTGGGGACTGTGCATTACTCTTTGCATTCTCTTATTCTTGTGCAACACAGCAGAGAGTTCCTAAAGAGGATTTTCACAGAAAACCCTTCAGAATCTGTTAAAGCAATTCTTAACTCCACTAAAGCAAAGATGGACTACTCCACCTTGATATCAGGCTTTTAAAATATATATATTTAACATCTAATATGCAAAGCTCAGATTTGCATTCAAACCATTCAAGGAGCAGAGGACACCACTGTGTCTCCGGGTAGCAGCTCTTCAAATGAGGCAAGGGACAGAAATAACTCCTGGAGAGAACTCTAAGTCATGGAGAACACCTGGTTTCCTAAAGACAGAAGGCAGGTCTGTCTGTTGGCCAGCAAGGGCCACTCAGGGCCACAAGGACAACAAACCAAGGAGCATTTACTTGCAGGTGACTATCAACAGGAGTATGGCTGTCCAAGTTGCTACTGAGGCACCACAGATGGGATAGCTAATGAACATTTTCTTTCCAAGAGCAGATTTTCCTTCCTGAGCCACAGCCTCAGCCCAGTCCCATTTCAGGCTTGCTTCCCAAGTTGCTCCAACACCCAGATCTCAGAGTCCTTCATCATTGTACACAGGGGAATGGGGCTTGAGGATGCTGCGGGCGTTGCTCTCCACCAGCGGCCGCCAGCTCACCTCCCCCGTCAGCAGCAGGTCCTCCCCACTCAGCGCATCCAGGTGCTGCACCTGCAAGCACAGCAAGTTACTGCAAGGTGTCACATCACCCTACATAAACATGTTTCTCTCCAGAAAGCAAGCACAACAGGGAGGTTTTAGCCTATCTTTCAGCCCAGAAACCAACCAGATCCTGGGCTGCATCCAAAGGAGCGTAGCAGCAGGTGAGGGAGGGGATTCTCCTCCTCTGCTGAGGCCCCACCTGGAGTGCTGCACACAGTTCTGGTGTCCCCAATATCAGAAGGACATGGAACTGTTGGAGCAAGTCCAGAAGAGGTCACAAAGCTGATCAGAGCACTGGAGCTTCTTCCCTATGTGCACAGGCTGAGAGAGCTGGAGCTGTTCAGCCTGCAGAGGAGAAGGTTGTGTAGAGACCACAGAGCAACCTGCCAGGAGCTGAAGGGGCTCCAGGGAAGCTGCAGAGGGACTCTTGGTTAGGAACTGCAGGGACAGGACAAGGAGGAATAGGGAGAAATTGAAAAAGGGAAATTTAGATTACGTATCAGGAAGAAGTTCTTGCTGTGAGGGTGGTGAGACACTGTCCCAGGTTGCCCAGGGAGGCTGTGGCTGCCCCAGCCCTGGCAGTGTTCACAGCCAGGTTGGCTAAAGCCTTGAGCAACCTGCTCTGGTGGGAGGTGTCCCTGCCCAGGGCAGTGGTTGGCACTGGATGATGTCTAAGCTCCATTCCAACCCCTGAACATGCTATGATACTATGACACTTTGCCATTTGTGTGAGGTAGACCTACCTAAAAAGCTAACTTCCAATGGCAAAGTGTCATGGACAGGAGATAATAATCTGCTGAGCCACAGGAGTTACCTGCATCAGGTGCTCCACTAATGCCTTAGCTAATGCTTCCTCCAAAGGCTTGGCAACAGGGCAAAGAGCCACACAAAGCTACCATGAGTCATGTTATCTGCCCAGCAATTAATGTCAGGTGACACTGCCCGTGCCAACCCCTCATGGAGTGCTCCTATCAAAGGGGCTTCACACAGACAGAGGCTTTTCACCACAGAAAAAAGCCTTACCAGCAGGGAACACCTTGGATTGATCACGTAACAGCACATGAGCTGGAGGAAATGCATGGAATGAACACTCATCCTCACAATACAAGAAATCCCAGAATGGTTTGGGTTGGAAGGACCTTTAACCTCATCTTGTTTCACCCTCTGCCATGGGCAGGGACACCTTCCACTAGCCCAGGTTGCTCCAAGCCCCATCCAACATGGCCTGGAACACTCCTAGGGATGGAGCAGCCACAGCTTCTCTGGGCAACCTGTGCCAGTGCCTCAGCATCCTCACAGGGAGGAATTTCTTCCCACTATCTAATCTAATACTGTACAACCAGATCCTGGGTAGCTGATGACTAGGAAGCAAAGCCTTCCTTGGTCCTCTGTAGCCTCCAGTGGATTTTTCCTCTCTTTCCTGGCCTTGAATACTTCCAGGGATGAGGCAGCTACAGCTTCTCTGGGCAAAATACCTGGGATCTAATGAAAATTTGAGGTACGATGTAAGATAAATAAACCTCTTGTCATACAACCACCCAGGGTTAACTTACTGCCACAGCACAGTGTACATATGGTAACAGGGGAAAAAAAAGAGGATAAAAGTCCCTCAAGGGTAAGTCAAAGCCAAAACCAAAACCAGCATCAGTGCCTCAGGAAGGCTGGGAGAGCTGACCAGGGGTACAGTACATAGCTTGTCCTGTTAGTGTATTCCTCTCTGGCATCCACTAATAGTCACTGAAGACAGGATCAGCAAGGAATTGTGTGGAAGACCTGGCACACAATGTTAGTGGAAACAAAGGATAATTGGACTAGGAGTTTCTTAACAGAGGAATGAATACTCCAATGGCCACAGAGGGTCACACCAAAAAGCCACCTAAGCACCATGTCCTGTTCTATCAGTCACCACGAGTATATTGCCCAGGAGGAGTTAAACACAGCACATGCGTACAATGCTATGTTCCTTGTTTATTTTCCCTCCCTCTCAAAGTCTGTCCATTCAGGGATTTTGAGCCTAAAGTGGTTGTCATGGATTTTATAGCCTTGGAGAAACTTCTCTTCCATGAGACTTGCCAGTGGCTTTGCAACCCTTGTGCAATTGCATCCAGCTGTGGCAACGTTACGTCCCCACATTCCTGTGTTGTTGTACACCTCTCCTTGCTCACCTTCCACATGCCTTCAGGACTTTCCAGAGCTGTCTCCTATGCTTTCTCGGCTGTCTTTCAGGCAAGAGATCCTCCTCATTGCTACTAAAGGAGCTGTTTCACTGTCACCCTTCCTGCTCTTCTCTGAGCCTCCTTAAGTGCAGGTTTTATCAGTACTCAAACCATACCCATTGTTCCAGCTCACAAGGGTACCAGGGATGTAAAATGGCATGAGACAGCCACTTTATTCTCAATTCCTTCCTTCGCAGTTCTGTGGATGTGTTTTACATTTTTTTAAACACTACAGAGTGCTGAGCTGACATTTGGATAACACAGTTGTAATCTCAAGGCATAATTACTGTGTGCCACAGAAGTTCAGAGCTCATTGACATAGATGTAAAGCTGGGAATGTTTTCCTCGAGTTCATCATCTGTCTGCAGGAATAACCTGCACAGAACCTGTGCTGATTCCTCCTCAAGGTGCCACATTTACCTGTCTGCTCACTTCTTTCTATTCACCTGCTGGTTGCTTCTGACCTGTCCTTTGTTTGAATACACAGAAATGCAACAAATTCCCACTTGGCAAGAAATTGCCCCAGATTACATACTTCTTGTATGTGTTTGCTCCCTGTGAACTTTCCTGCAGTCTCACTGTTGTTAAACATCAGCAACCCTCAGCATTACATTAAGCTAGTCCTGCTGAGAAGTCTCTAGCAATCCCAAAATGTCCTCAGTCGCTCAGGAAGGAAGCTCAGTCCTTTACTTCCCATGCCATGCTCTCAGACACACTGAAATACTGTCTCCAAATCTCTGATCCTGAAAGGAGTATTGGAAACACTATAGAAGATGATGTTGTGGAAGTTCTGGTCTTCCATTCCCTGTCCAACACCCTACACTTCTCCTCCAGATCCTCTCTCAGCCCTTTCCTTCGATGCCCACCTGGACTATATCCTGCCAACATTTCCTAGAAGCCTTGTTTACAAACCACCTAAGAGCTGAGAGGACAAACACTACTCAGTATTGTTTCCTCCAGCTAATAAATGAAAGAAACAGAAATAATTCTGGAAAGCAAAACCTTTCAGTCCTTTCCCCCAAAGATCATGAGGAGACCTTCAAACTCTGTGTGCTATTTCACTATGAACAGCATCCAAACTCCACAACATCGATTATAATTCTACAACAAGCTGCAGCCCATTCCTGACACATTCTGTCAAGCCCCTCCATAGCACAGGTCCACCAAAAGATGATCAGGATTGCTTCTGATATTCCATGAGTTTCTCTGCAGCTATTTATCATCAGACTGCAATAATGACCTGTTCTCTCTGGTAAGCAGTGACAGGACCTCAGGGAATGGCTAAAGCTGTGTCAGAGGAGGGTTAGGGTGGATATTAAGGAAAGGTTCTGCCCCCAGAGGGTGGCTGGGCACTGGAACAGGCTGAGGGGAGACTTCCTCATGAGAGGCAGTGGAAGCTCTGCTGTCTGTGACCAGTGACAGGACCCAGGGAATGTCCTCAAGTTATGTCAGGGAGGTTTAGGTGGATATTAGAAAACGGTTCTTCCCCCAGAGGTGTTTGGGCACTGAAGCAGCTCTCCAGGGCAGTGGTCATGGCCCCAAGCCTGGCAGAGCTCAAGGTGTGTTTGGACAATGCTCTCAGGCATAGGGTGGGATTGTTGGGGTGTCCTGTGCAGGGCCTGGAGTGGGATTGGATGATCCTTGTGGGTCCTTCCAGCTCAGGAGATTCGATATAATAAATACCATCCAATTTTTATATTTCTGCATTTCTTCTCATTAAAAGTGATCACTGAATATTGAAATCAGATTTATTTCTGAGAACTGAGCCCCATATGCAAGCAATAAGCACTCAGTCTCCTGAAGGAGAAGAGGCTGAGGAGCAGCCTCAGGCCGAGCCGTGCTGTACCTGTTTGCGCACATACTCCACAAGCAGCTCCAGATGCCGAGGGTCATCACAGTTCTTGTTGAAAAGGTTTCTCCAAAGAGCTGCTGCCAGAACATGGTCATCAGACAAGATTCCCTACAGGAAGTACAGAGGGGGATTAAAAACTGCCCGTGAAGGTCTGAACACAGACAACCACATGAGTGTACTTGGCACATGGCCACATCACCTGTCTCAAAGCTCACAGCTGCCATGGGCTGTGCATGTGGAAAGGCAGCAACAACACTCTTTTTCAGAATGGAAAAACAACCCTAGCCTTAAGTTAATTTATAGAGCAGCCTGGAACCAATATTCTGGCAAGTTAATTTGGAAAAAAAACTAGGTCAGGGTATTCCTAATGTCAGAGCTGATAACTGCATTTCTGTGTCATGAAATAATGCATGAAATAATTGCAATGAGTATAAATTGAATGAGGGGAAGTTTAGGTTAGCTATTAGGTGAAGCTATTCTCTGTGAGGGTGGTGAGACACTGTCCCAGGGCTGCCCCAGCCCTGGCAGTGTTCACAGCCAGGTTGGCTAAAGCCTTGAGCAACCTGCTCTGGTGGGAGGTGTCCCTGCCCAGGGCAGGGGGTTGGGGCTGGATGATCTCTAAGGGCCACCCCAGCCCCCTAACATGTTATGAAATCTTTACCATAAAAATGGAGACCTTACAGAGCAGGCAGCACCACCTCATGAAAAATTAAAGGATATTTAATCCAATGTTGCAGAAATGTAGTCTGGACTTGGTGATTTGACTTTGCTTTTTTGCTTTTCAGTCTAAGTGAGTGAGAACTCCTCCTCATCAATAAATATCAACTCCTCCTCTTCAATAATTATCTAGATTTTTCCAGTTAAATCTAATATTAGGTTTGGCTTATCCAAGAATCACATCCATGAGTAGTTTTTTGTCCAAATTCTCTCCTACTTTTATTGCCTTTTTAGTTTATGTGGTGTTATCACTATAGTCTCCTAACTTCTGTCTTCTACTGACACATTTGTCAAAGGAAAAAGAGGACTTGAAAACAGTCAGCTAAAAATAAAAATGGTCAAGATTTATCTTTAATTGATGCAGACATTTCGTTCCCCAAAAGACTGTCAACACAACACTGGCAGACAGACACATCCTGGCTATACTTAAAACTAGATGAAAAACTTACATGTGTAACACTGTCCACAACTCTGAGTTTGCATTTACAAGATATTAATAATGCAAATCACTGTGCAAACTAATATCCCATGTGAGTAAAAGCAACATTCACTAGAGCAAAACAATAACTACTAAAAGATGATGTAATTGTGTTTTGTTCCTTCAAGTCCTGGAGACACTTGTGCAAAGTAGTATTTTGCCGCCTTGTAGTGCCTATAAATATTCTCACACAGATTCCCTATATACTCTATAAATACTCTCTTTGCTTTCAAAGTACATTTGAGTACAAAAGGATTCAGAGGGAGGAAATGCTTTATTGCTGGCCAAGCAGGGATGGCAAAGCAGCACAGAGAACATCCCCTCCTTCCACACCCCATGGTTTACATCAATGTGCTCTATACTTTCTCTTTACTTAAAGCCAATTTCATTTAAGGCATATAACTAGGAAGTCGCTTTCCCTAATCTAACATTTCTCCAAAGATATGCACAGTGAATGCTTTACCCATCTGGAATATTCTGTGTTCAGGAATTAGATGCTCTACTTGTCCTTGCACAAGTCTCTGAAAACATCCTTCTTACCTCATCGTATCCAAACAGAGCTGCATAGAAATTTTCTACCATAGTTTTCAAATCTTCCTTCAGGACAACAGAATTAATCTGAAAAAGAAAGGAGGAAATCATCAGTATATGTTCTATAGAGGAAATAAAGAGAAAATATAGCCCGTTTCACTGTGAGCAGGCAAAGACACAACAGTGCCCTGACCCACCTCACTGAGGGTTTGGTTGTGAGCAGTACCACTGGTGCTGTCAGTCACCTAGAACACCCTGCGACACAGGTCTGCAGTTCCAACACAACTACAAGTTGGTGTTACTCAATACAGGACTGGCAGAAACATCCCCAGCCAACAGCACTGCCACAGCTACAGGAGCAGAGAGAAAATGCTGCTGGGGCAGCGTGAAGCAAGGCTGTCCCTGCAGGGATAGCACAGGCCAAGATGATGGAGACTTCTCTGGAGTTTCACTGTTGAGCAGCCTTTCCTGCCCTTGATTAATTCTTAGCAACTCAAAGGCTTTTCAACCATTTTTTCCCAAAGCAAAGACGGCAGAGCTGAAGGTGCTACTCCCATGAAAGTACTGGAATACAAGGAAGCTGGAGACGACGCTTAGTTAGGAACTGCAGGGACAGGACAAGGAGGAATGGAGAGAAATTGAAAAGAGGGAAATTTAGACTAGCTGTTAGGCAAAAGTTTTCCCTGTGAGGGTGGTGAGACTGGCCCGGGTTGCCCAGGGAGGCTGTGGCTGCCCCAGCCCTGGCAGTGTTCACAGCCAGGTTGGCTAAAGCCTTGAGCAACCTGCTCTGGTGGGAGGTGTCCCTGCCCAGGGCAGGGGTTGGGGCTGGGTGGTCTCCGCGGTCCATTCCAATCCCTGAACATACTATGAAACTGTGATAGTTAGAGACACTATCTAAACCACTGCTTCTCCTGTGCCTGTCAGTACTTCCTATCACTCAGCAAGCACAGGAATTCTGCTTCTACAGCATCTCTAGAAGCTCAGACTCAATAGTTTTTGACTATGACTAAATTGCTTTCAGAGTTTGTGATGATCCAATGACTTACCCCTATGATCTAAGTGTGACTTGGTCCAAGTTTCACAATGACTTTTAACTAAATTTAACAACTGCTTACATATTTGCTGGTTTGGCCTTAGCCATGCACTGGATTGAGAACTGACCCCATGTGAGCTTAAGATGGAACTAGAGCAACTGCTGGGTGCAGAGAGATAGCTGAAATGCCTCCTGTGCATCTCCCTGTCTGCCCCTCTTGCCTGTTCTTCTATCAGCAGTGATTCAATATATAGTTCCTCTCCTGAGGGCTCAGCTACACTTTAGTAAAGTTTCTTCTCTGTAGTGACTCTCACAAGGGCTCCAAGAAACATGAAGCATTTCTTTTCTCCAGATTTCACACCCCCTAGAGGTAAAAATGACAAGGATTATCACCTTCATCTCTGCACCCCAGCAGAGCACTGAGGTGTGAGACTGCACCTTGGAGGCAGGCTGGACCCCAGCACAGCTGTCCTTGAGGTACAGCTCATCACACCTCCCACACTGTGAACTTTTGTCCTAAATACTCTTTTAGGAGTCTTCACCTCTGTAATTATGCAACAGCTTTTCTATCAAAATATGAGTTAGTTTTTGCCAAGTGAGCAAATCTCCAGTTCAAATATTCTTCCATTAAACCACTGTCTTTTTTCATCTGTTGATTTTTATAGCCATGCACAGAGTGCAAACACAAGAAAAATTCCTTTTATGTCAGTTACTCATATTTTTCCATGAATCTAAACTATTAAAATTCATGCAGATATTTTATAGGCTATCAACATTTGGAGACTGGTTATTACTGAAGGTTCAAAAACAGAGCTAAACCTAAGAAATCAGAGGGTTAAATGATGACTGCAACTTCTGTAATGACTTAATTAAACTTTTATTGAGTATATAAACTATGATGTCATTTCTATCCAACCATGCTCAGACCTTCTCGGCATGTCAGAGATGGTGGTTTTTCTCAATAGAACATACTTCTAAATAAGCTGCACTTCTACAGCTCTAATAAGGGGGAGCAGGTCTCATGTAACACACTCAATAAATTATCCTTCCATTTTAAACAAACAAATTCCATGAGTTATTATAGATTTGCCACGCACTTTTTATGACATAATAAAAATGTTACCTCAAGGATTACTTAACACATACTACAAATGTTACAGCAGGCAACTGCAAGGGGCAAAGAAAACAAATAGTGCTGTTACAGAGACAAGTCCTGGACTCTATATCCCTGGGGATGCAGCTTTCTGCACTAAAAACAAAGAGCAGCAGCTCCAAGTTAGCAAGAAGTAGATGGATGAAGGAGATAACCAAGCTGAACAAACCGGGCAATAAATACATCTGAAAAGACAGTTTCGGATGTAAAATATGAGTTTGGGTATGGAGACTATCTTAGGCAATAAAATTATACTTAAAGAAATACTGCAGTTTCTGAAGAATACAACTGGCACTGGTTAAGGACAAAAGCTGAAGGGAAAAATCCTTCTTTATAAATCAAGGGAATGAGTAAATCCACATCAGCATTTGTTGGAAGTGCCTCCTCTTTCGAGGCTTGTGCATGTTCTTACCACTGGCAAGTTTCATGAGCTGGTTGGTCCCGATTTTGCTGACTTTTCCACAGTTTGTTATTAAGAAGAAAAACTGCTAGAGAATTCCAAGTGAGTAATTGCTAATAACAAGGTAAAAATCAGTAACATCTGGAGCTCTTCTCGGGACTTTGCCCCTTTGCCTTCCTTGGAACCACTCACTGCAGAGCTGTCACTGGGCAGATTTACACACCACTGCCTAACTGACACACAGACCATGTCAGTTCCAGACAAGAACCCAGTTTTGGGAACATACCTCACCTTTACAAGACCTTTAAAAAAAAAGGAAATGTATAGCTAACATATCTTCCTGCTCCGAGTCACACTTCCTCTCAGAAAGACTCCCTGATTCCACATTCTGCCCATGGGATGACTGCAGCAAACAGCTGCTGGTGTTCCAATGTCAGAATGGAGAAATGTCCTCTTGCCTCAAGGAGTTCAGTGTGCATCAGCCAACAGCCAAGTGCTGAGGCTTTCTGCTCTAGCAGACGAGTTACTCTGTCAGGTCGCAGTTCAGGTTTTGCATTCTAGAAAGACTCCTAGGAAGGCAGGAACACACAGCTTTGCTGTACTGCTGAGCATGGAGGGAAATATCCCTGGGCACAGTATTAAAAGTGAACACTGCTCTAGGATCAGTCCAGATCAGTGTCCTGTGTTGGATCATGAGCATTCCTGGGTAACGAACCTCCTCCTCCTCCCCACTTGCTTTGGCTGACAGTGCAGAGCAGAATCCAAGTGCACAGACTGGGAGGTAAGAAGTGACAGCCTCAAGTTGCACTAGAGGAAGTTTAGATTGGTATTATCACAGCATGTTAAAGGGTTGGAATAGACCTTAGAGATCATCCAGCCCCAACCCCCTGCCCTGGGCAGGGACACCTCCCACCAGAGCAGGTTGCTCAAGGCTTTAGCCAACCTGGCTGTGAACACTG